CCAGTAAATTCGAGATGATGTTGTGTGCATTATATTTATAGACACCGAGAGAAAGCTCCGTAGCAACAATAAACCCAGTGTAATGTCACATTAGACCGGAATTGGCTAGGAAAGGAATCTCCGAATTTACGCTTGCAGTCGCCGCTGACAAAGTAAATTGCACCTCCTCACAAAGCATGGATTCCCGATTCTACATTTATGGGATCTGTGAAGTAGGATGCGATGATCCACAGAGTATAATGCTTTGGAAAATTTCAGATAGGTTGTGTGGATCCCGGTCCTACTATCAATAGCTTTCTTCCGAACATCTCTGAGATTAGTAGATTGTTAATACGTGGCCGGTATGACTCCAGTGCTGTTTTTATAGATAGCCCATCTACACTACAATCAAGACTGATTCCATCACCTTTTAGAGTACTGTGAGAAGGGTTACTTGGTACTAGATTACATAGTCTTCACTGCTGTTTTCTGAAATTCGGGATAATGCTGCTTTGGTTCTATAAACGTTAGACTTGCTGTCCACTCAAGTCTCTTGAGAAGAACTGTGACAAGGATTTTATCAGCTTCGTAGCTGCAGCCTCCAATGCATTCGAGAGAATATTATCTGCTGCCGGCCAACTCTACATGCAGAGCAAAAGCTGCTTCCCGAATACACTCGTTGCATTAAATATGATAATTGTACACCTTGTGGTCGGTAGAATGGGTGTTGGTATGCGACACAGATGGGTTGCAAGTTCAAATCCCGGGGCGTTTTACAGCTGTAGAACATTGACATACTCGTCAGTTCTTTGTGCCCTATCGTCTGTTGGGATAAGTGGGTGATATTAGGCTTAGTTTTATGCGGACTGTTTTGCATGCCCGCACAGCAAATCGCTGTTAGTCCGAGACATTCTGGTTGAGCATCGTCGATGCGAACTTAGTTCGCACTGTCAATTGCAGCTGACTAGCTGCAATGGGCTAAGAAGTTCCTCCAGCTTTCTGGATCAGGGTCTGCTTTGTATTCATGCCATGCCGCGTTCCTTAATGTTGTTAGGTTTAAGGCCAGCCTAAACCGAAGTAGATTCAGTGACTGAAAACCAAAGCGAGGTGGCACCGCTGAATACTAATGAATCTTGTAACTTACGCAGAACTGAGGATCATACATAGTACAAAGTCAACTGCGCACAGAAAACGAAACAAATTGGCCTGTTCAGGTAGGTAAGTGTGAAAGTTACCACAAACAGCTGTGTGATTTGCATTGAAACAACCTATTTCTACCGTCAGACCAGTGCATTTTGTGTTGCAGAAATATGTCTTCCTGTCACCTGTTTCACACGAGACACTTACGTTAGCCCATCGGGATGTTATGAAATCGAACGCGTAGACAACTGTTAATTGGTGTGATTTGCTTCACATGTTGGTCCGCTTTTTTGTTCGATTTACGTGTGCACTCCATTTGTCCGGTGGCTTGACTTCTGGCACTCCAGAAGTAACAATAATAACCTTGATCGGTCATGCCCCCAGAGAACACAATAAATGTCATGAAACCGAGTCAAGCTTTCGATACTTGATGAATCCATTACGAAACGTAGTGGTTTATTTCTGAAGCAATTGTGAACAAATCGCCGAATCTTTCAATAAATGCCACATAAAGTTTGTCAAGGGTATCTGAACTCGAGAACTCAACTGCGAATTCCTAAACAAGTTGTGTTGTCACAAGGTAGTGATGATTCCATTCATCAAGTGTGTGTGTGCTTCCTCAGACACACAGAGAAATACGCATAGTTAAAGGTTATGTTTACGTGAGCACTGATTCACAACCGATTCTGCAACAATATCTTTATCAGTCGCAGGGATGACGGGCTCATTAAAAGGTCTATCTACAGAAAAGCAACCTGGTCCGGCCAATACCTGCATTTCACCAGCTTCACACCAGTGCGGTACAAGCGAACCCTTGTGGAAACTTTAGTTAGTCGTGCTAGACGAATTTGCTCGTCTGCTTGTCTAGCGGACGAGCTAGAGTTAATTACAACACTCATTGCAAACGGTTATCCCATAGATCTATAGAGAAACACAGATAACAACGAGGCGCGAAAGACTTGGTGCATATGGCAGCCAAGAAAAAAATCTATATCGAGTTGCCTTTCAAGGGTGACTTTACCGTATTGAAAACCATGAAACTTTTAATCTCTGCTACGCAGAGAAGTTTGCTGCTCAGGTTGTGGTTCTCAATAGAACCTGTAACTTGCCGGTGCCACCAACGAAGGATGCTCAACCGATGGGGGCCAACTCATACTGTATATACAAATTCATGTGCGACTGCGGAGACAGTTACCTAGGCAGGAACAATCGGTCTTTGAAGTCCCGTAAAGGTGACCAGCATCCCTGTCCCACTGAAGTTCCGTGCTTGCGCAAGCCGCCAGCTTCCTCAATAGGTAAACACCTATTGACTACGCGTCACCGGATAGAACTTGGATCATCGTTCACACTTGTATTACGTCATCTTAATTCCCGCTTCCTCCGTTTCGCCGAGGCCGTTGCGATAAGCCGGATGAAGCCGGCCCTGAGTGTTCAAAAGCAATTATTTATCAGCTTAAGACTGCCGTGGACATGGGGGTGGAACTTCCGTCATTCATTTTGCACTTCATGCTTATTCGGTCACACGCATATTTAAGTATATAGTCGCGTACCGGTTATTGTTAATGGTACCGAGAAGACAATACAAAATGTATGCATCTACCGCCTATCGTCTTGGTACCGTGCTTTTCAGATATCCTAATGATCATGGTTTCTTCATCTGTGAACCCAATGCCAAATACGGACGATGTGTTTGCGGTCCTGAAGAGAGTGGATGGTGTGACAGGGCTGTACAGAAGGGTAATCCCTGGTGACCGTGCAACTTAATCGTAAGTTGCTCACTCGGGATGCCGGTGCAGCGAGTATCAAGTTGAGATCCATTTCAGTTGTGTGTGACTCTCTTTTAGAACGCATTCTTCCATCGAATAGTTGTCGGCACTGTATACCCTTCCTCAGGTCACATCGATGGTAACAAAGCAAAGTGCGATGTTTTGTGATGTATTTTTTGGCCACCAGCCATCTATATGTTTAATGGTGTCATACCATGTATTGATAAGGCTTAGTCAAGCCAAAGACGAGAAGGTGGCTTATGTGAGCTTGAGGTATAAGTTAGATGATTGTTCAGTCTTACATGCATAAGAACTGTATGGAGAAGCTTCAGAAGAACAACGGTCATTCTACGGAAGTAGAAACAACTAAAAGTAGGTGCTCAAAAGTAACCGAAACAGCAAACAATCTCAGGGTGGTAACGGCCGATGTGAACGGTATTCAAGACATAAAGTACCTTGGGTTAGACGACGGATACCATGTGTGTTTAATCCCCATATGAAGGACAAACCGCCTGGGAAAGCCACTTGAATTCAGTTGTTCTTAGCTAGCTGGTCACTCGGATAGTACAAACACTTTGCACTTCCGGAGGAGGAAGACGCAGAAGAAAAGGATACCCAGCTAAACGATCTTGCAGCGACTAGGTGAGATCTCAGCGTAAGAAGGGAGTTGAGTACACAGAAGGAACAAATCATGTCACCATCGTTTCTGATGCACCCCATTCGCCTTATTAAGTTATTGGTATAAGAACGACGATAACTAATTGACACCTGCGGTAAGGTCCCTGCGGCTTATTTGGATGACCTTCGGTACTAGCCGTTGGAGCAGCCCATGCTCGTATCGCTTGTCATAGACAATTTTAAGTTGGACCGCGCTATGTTTTGGATAGAACTTTGGTCAATTTGACCAATAAGATTATTTTCAAAATAAGTGAATGTCAGGTGTTCATTGCCCCCATACTGCTCTGTCGAACCTGTTACATATTCACTTAAACTTTCCATATGGGGATGATTAAACTGCGATTCGAATCCAAGAAGTAAGGATTGATGACAAGCACCTGTATCAGTACTGTATAGCCGGGCTCCTTAGGTAACACTTTCCAAAATTACAGAGGAGTAGTAAGGGGAGTTGAATGGCATAGGTCGAAATTCGTCACATCTAGACTCACTCAGACAATCGTCACACGTCCGGAAAAGTATTGTACGCGTGTTCCATCCTTTCGGGAATCGTAAGCAGTGCGCATTGCATCGGACCCTGTTAGGGCTCGAACCCACAGCTCGACTGTCGCCA